CCGGTGTAGTGTAGGGAGAAAGGCACTGGGTACAACTACAAAACCACGTGACTTCCTTCTCTCGTCCTTTTCCACTGGACGAAATAACTTAGAGAACGAACCACACATCATCAGCCTCCAGAAGTGTGATGATCACCTTCCCATCCCCTTCCAATCCTTCTCCCTTCTTAAGGTTAGCACCCGTGTTAAAAGACCCTCCTCCGCCAGCGATGGTTTCTTTTTTATCCTTCACAACGCCCCCGCCATGCTGCACCACCTCCCCCAAACCCTCCATGGCCTCCAATGGGGGAGTTCCCTCCTTTCCCTCCGTTTAGGAATCCTTTTCCCCCTTCATCGATCTGGCCAGACTTCCCATCCCCGTTCAAGCCACCTCCCGCTCCACATTCAAATGAAGCTGACGGGGAGCCCTTTTCGTAAAGGTTTCCCCCATATCCGTCAGCGCCTCCTGCCTGTGACCCATTCCGTGTGGTCTGGCCTGAATCCCCTTCATGGAAATTTTCTGGCTGCGCAACACCTCCTCCCCCTCCACCAGCAATAATCAATGGAGCGGCTGAAGAAGTGATAAACGTTCCCCCTCCTCCTCCTCCCGGTAACGGTGAACCAGTTTTCCCCCTGCTGCCTCTTTGTCCAACGAGAATTTTGAGTTCTTTTCCACGGGTGAGATTGAAAGTTCCTTTTACATAAGCGCCTTTCCCTCCTGGTCTTGTGACCGCTGACACCTTATCAGATTGGCGGCCTTCAGCTCCGGATGCTCCCCAGGCTTCTATGACATAAGATCCACTTAAGGGTACAGTCCATAATTGGATGCCGTTTTCAATTCTAATCTTCCCTTGTAATGTTGTGCCTTTATATCCAGATGTACCTGTTGGCCCATTCGAACCCACCGCACCAAGAGTTGTGAAGGTGAATTTGAAATCTGAGAATATGTAAACAGTTCCATGCTTACTATGTGGGATCAGAGGATAACATAGAGGACTAATTATCACTTTCCGAACAGCTTGTTCTGAATCTTTTGGACTGACGCATATCCCTAAGAATTATCTAGTTGGACGAGTTTAACAACCCTTGATGTAATGTTTCATTCTAGCAGTCTTCTCTATTTGATGATATATCTACCTTGTATGCAGCAAATGCATTAAGGGTTTTTGTTTTATTTCACTTAGTGCTTACCAACAGCTCTGCAAACTAGCAAAATCCCTATAGTTAATCTTAATGGTACATTTTGACACAGCAAGACAGAACGAATGAGTGGCTTACGACTCTTGTTTGTACTCGCGCCATGCGAATGACGCTACCTTAACTAAAGACATAGATAAGTATCTTGAATAACAATAACTTACCCTCACACACACCTCGAGTCTTGTCAACATCAAAGTTATCCGTGGTGGAGCACCACAGCCCGAAGAGCTTGTCAACTACGCACGAGTGCCGATTTTTCCCCTGGTAAAGGAATGGAAACACACAGCAACCTCCATCTTTGGTTCGCCAAGTTTTACATTCTGCGAGAGTTGGTGGTGGCAGAATTTAGTGTTTTTAGAGTTTAAATGGAGAGGAAACATATCCTACGCAATTACGCAGGTCTAAGGATGGTGGTACGAGTTCCTCTCTGATCATAAGTCTTAATGGAAAGGAAACATGGCACCCAAAAGTTCATATTCGTTGTAAGCGACTGAGTTGGCATAGTTACTTAATTTGACTATATCCGAACTTTTTCCTGATATAAAAATAATAAAACAACTAAGCTTTTGTTGACTTTATTCCTTCACCTGGCAACCCTCACTGAAAAAAGATCGTTGCGTGGTTAGAACATAAGATCTTGTATGTAAGGAAAGTTCTGGTTATCATGTGAACACAAGAAAGTGATCTTTCCAGAATAAAGAACACATTCTTATGAACGACTGTCGCAGCCACATCGAGTAAAATACTCTTTCCAAAAGGTTAGCTCACGCCTTCCAGTGTCAGCCCGCGGTTATTTTGCTATTCATTCTAGACACTTTCCCGTTCAGCCAATAGGCCCAGATCTGTTTCACCCTTTGCACCCTAACATCAGTATGTATATTCTCCATACTGTTCTCTTTACATTTCCCAAGGTGCTGGCAAGGAGAATTTGATAAACAATCCAAAGCTTCTATACTTGTTATCATTTCCTTTATTATCGTGACCTTAATGTTTGATTTAGGGGTGATATTGTAAGGAGAAATTAGAGGCTAGTCACTCTTACGAGTCATCAGTAGGCCAACTCACCTTTAAATACTTTCTTGGGTCCGTGAAGATGCCCACAAAGCCATCCGGGTTCGTGGATTAGTTTCAAACCATCGCTGGATGTTTTATATAACTCACAGATTCCTCGGTTCACTGAAGAAGAGCCGTAATTGAATACAAGGCAGAGTGGTTCCGATAAACATTTTTGCGAGCAAGATAGGACACTTCGGCTTGTTTGGCGGCTGATTATTTCGTTTGACTCAAGTTTGACGTTCTCTGTGTTAAAAAACGCCGATCTCCTAATCATTTCGCTTCTTCCCGATTGCAGAAATACGAACAAAATTGCTTGAAACACAAACATGGTAGAAATTGCAGTTCTGTTTTTTGCTTCCAGATAGAACATCGATAGTAACTAAAAGGAAATAAGTTTTAAATAAAGTACACAGAGAGAAGTCAACATTTGCTTTTTGTCACCGTTTATTACTTTTTGGCTACATGATTGATCTGATTCTTTTTAGACTTTTTAATTTGCAGTTTATTACCCGTCAGATGTTTTCCTGTTTGCTCAATCGTTTTGTGTGCTTTAGCTAAACATAAATGTTCATAAATAGAATAAGAGAGATGGTTAGTTCTGAGCTCGGTTAAGAAATAGACAAAAAAGATGTTTTTCGTCTTGTCACGAGCGTGGACCAAAGAATAAACTCTGAGTCCCCATGAAGCAAACGAACCTAAGACCCTTTACGTTTTACAGCATCGGAGCGCGGAATCCGAAGATCTGAGGTTCGATTCTCATGGGGACTCAGAATATTTCCTTCGTACCACGCTCGTGACAAGACGAAAAACATCTCTCTTTGTAAATGTTTATCTTCGGATTTCTTACAATATGAGTTGCCACAGCTGGATTTCTCTCATTGGCACTGTTTCACTCATATTTGGCAAGCTTCTCGCGAAAGCTGTGGGATGTCTGTGAGCAGTCTGGCTTATTTCCTCGTGCCAAACCCCTTGAACACCTTCTGCTAGCAAAGCGACTGGATCGAGTCTCTCGGATTTCCAGAGAACTGTGCTTGCGAGATGCTTGAGCAAAAGCAGCAATGAGAGGGGGCACTATAGCGATATTTTTTCCTCAGCTCCTGATAGGTTTCTTTGTGTTTGAACAATTAGTGAGCAACGGTGCTTCTGGTACAATAATCGTGAATTCCTCTCAAATTTGTTATTTGTAGCATTTTGGCTTTTTTATATTTTACAGCACTACACTTTACACGAAACTCAACTTAAAATTATATTTGAGGTGAAAATTTCCATGTTTTTCTCTCGGAACAAGCGTTGATAATGTTACTTCTTGGTGGAGATGAACACAAGATGACTTTCTGTAATATGATGGCAAGATTCATACTAAGAACTTAAGAAGAGGAGAGTGAATTTCCCCAGCGACATCTCAAGGGAGTAACAGCGATTCATTCCATGATGCTTTAGACAGGTGTGGGAGCTAATATCATTCATTGCACGAGTTAAGTTTACCCGGTGATATAGTCGCAAGTTCGTTTGCGGCTCAATAATTGAGCTGTTGATGACGTTTTCAACAACTGTGTGGTTAATAGAGCAACATTGTCATGTTGTGTTATTGTCAAGTTTGTGTCACCAAGGTAAGGGTTGAAATTCATATCTCATTTCCGAATCAAGGTGATTTTTCTAAAACATTCTGGTGTGTGACTTTCAGCGAAAATTTTATATTATTTTATAGCCTTTTCGAGTTTCGATCCCCGTTGCATATTTAAACAATAGCCTCTATTTGGCTCGAAAATATGCTCGGATATTTGTCCGCGGACATACTCTGTTCCGAGATGCGAACAGTTTTCTGAGAGCGAGGAAAACTGTGAGTTACGCGGAACATATAATGTCCAAGGACAAATACACGACCATATTTTCGCCCCAAATGTTGGCAACTTAGTATCCATCGAATATTTTTGCAACGCACGGAGAAAAATGTTTACAAAAAGCTTACCGTTTACTGCGGGGGATGTTTACTTTTCAGTGTTCTCTGGTATGACTTTATCAACATACAAACACGTCCTTTTCGTTGTAACAACAGCTAAGCTCTCGCTCATCTTGAATTTAATGTTAACACAAAGACTGTTATCCTTGTGGACGTGAAATCGGCAGGCTACGGGGTACGAACTGACAGTAAATTTGAACTGCAGTTGAATGAACCTTTTGGGAAAAAAAATCAAGCAACTAGGAAAAAGTTTTCACCGAGGTGGACATTTGTCAATGGATGTGCAAATAGTGATTATTCACAATAAAAAATAAAAAAAAGTGAAGTGGGGCTTCCTCAACCTGACATTGACCAGGCTGCGCGGAGTCTTTTTCCTCTTGAGGACTCGACGAAAAAAGAATTGCGAGGCCAAACTGTCTGACACTGCACAGGAGAAATCGACAATACAGTCTAACCTGTGCTCCGCATTTACAGAATAAACGTGTGTCTTCTTTCGTTCACGAGAATGAACGAACTTTCGACCGAAAATGAACATATCTATTTTAATTGTTTACTTTTATCTCCCTTTCATCTCCTTTATCTCCCTTCGTTGCTTGTGATACAATAATCATCATTGGAAGGAATCCTTTTACAGTTTACCAGCAACTTTGATGTTTGAAGAAAGCGACTAACGTTTTGAGTCTGTAATACATGTTTCACCCAATTACAGAAAAACATCACAAGCTGCTACTGACACGGAATCGCAAGAAATTATAATTTTTTATTTGAGGTGAAACTCTCTTTATATGATAGCAGTGTAACGCTACTATACGAACTCATCAGCTTCCAGAAGTGTGATGATCACCTTCCCATCCCCTCCCAATCCTTCTCCCTTCTTCGGGTTAGCACCCGTGTTAAAAGACCCTCCTCCGCCAGCGATGGTTTCTTTTTTATCCTTCACAACGCCCCCGCCTGAATACCCACCCCCTGCCCCGGGATAAAGCCATGCTGCACCACCTCCCCCAAACCCTCCATGGCCTTCAGCGGGGGAGTTCCCCCCTTTCCCTCCGTTTATAAATCCTTTTCCCCCTTCACCGATCAGGCCAGACTTCCCATCCCCGTTCAAGCCACCTCCCGCTCCACATTCAAATGAAGCTGACGGGGAGCCCTTTTCGTAAAGGTTTCCCCCATATCCGTCAGCGCCTCCTGCCTGTGACCCATTCCGTGTGGTCTGGCCTGAATCCCCTTCATGGAAATTTCCTGGCTGCGCAACACCTCCTCCCCCTCCACCGGCAATAATAAATAGAGCGTCTGCTGAAGAAGTGATAAACGTTCCCCCTCCTCCTCCTCCCGGTAACGGTGAACCAGTTTTCCCCCTGCTGCCTCTTTGTCCAACGAGAATTTTGAGTTCTTTTCCACGGGTGAGATTGAAAGTTCCTTTTACATAAGCGCCTTTTCCTCCTGGTCTTGTGACCGCTGACACATTATCAGATTGGCGGCCTTCAGCTCCGGATGCTCCCCAGGCTTCTATGACGTAAGATCCACTTAAGGGTACAGTCCATAATTGGATGCCGTTTTCAATTCTAATCTTCCCTTGCAATGTTGTGCCTTTATATCCAGATATACCTGTTGGCCCATTCGAACCCACCGCACCAAGAGTTGTGAAGGTGAATTTGAAATCTGAGAATATGTAAACAGTTCCATGCTTACTATGTGGGATCAGAGGATAACATAGAGGACTAATTATCACTTTCCGAACAGCTTGTTCTGAATCTTTTGGACTGACGCATATCCCTAAGAATTATCTAGTTGGACGAGTTTAACAACCCTTGATGTAATGTTTCATTCTAGCAGTCTTCTCTATTTGATGATATATCTACCTTGTATGCAGCAAATGCATTAAGGCTTTTGTTTTTTTCACTTAGTGCTTACCAACAGCTCTGCAAACTAGCAAAATCCCTATAGTTATTCTTAATGGTACATTTTGACACAGCAAGACAGAACGAATGAGTGGCTTACGACTCTTGTTTGTACTCGCGCCATGCGAATGACGCTACCTTAACTAAAGACATAGATAAGTATCTTGAATAACAATAACTTACCCTCACACACACCGCGAGTCTTGTCAACATCAAAGTTATCCGTGGTGGAGCACCACAGCCCGAAGAGCTTGTCAACTACGCACGAGTGCCGATTTTTCTCGTGGTAAAGGAATGGAAACACACAGCAACCTCCATCTTTGGTTCGCCAAGTTTTACATTCTGCGGGAGTTGGTGGTGGCAGAATTTAGTGTTTTTAGAGTTTAAATGGAGAGGAAACATATCCTACGCAATTACGCAAGTCTAAGGATGGTGGTACGAGTTCCTCTCTGATCATAAGTCTTAATGGAAAGGAAACATGGCACCCAAAAGTTCATGTTCGTTGTAAGCGACTGAGTTGGCATAGTTACTTAATTTGACTATATCCGAACTTTTTCCTGATATAAAAATAATAAAACAACTAAGCTTTGTTGACTTTATTCCTTCACCTGGCAACCCTCACTGAAAAAAGATCGTTGCGTGGTTAGAACATAAGATCTTTTATGTAAGGAAAGTTCTGGTTATCATGTGAACACAAGAAAAAGATCTTTCCAGAATAAAGAACACATTCTTATGAACGGCTGTCACAGCCACATCGAGTAAAATACTCTTTCCAAATGGTTAGATCGCGTCTTCCAGTGTCAGCCCGCGGTTATTTTGCTATTCATTCTAGACACTTTCCCGTTCAGCCAATAGGTCCAGATCTGTTTCACCCTTTACACCCTAACATCAGTATGTATATTCTCCTTACTGTTCTCTTTGCGTTTCCTAAGGTACTGGCAAGGAGAATTTGATAAACAATCCAAAGCTTCTATACTTGTTATCATTTCCTTTATTATCGTGACCTTAATGTTTGATTTAGGGGTGATATTGTAAGGAGAAATTAGAGGCTAGTCACTCTTACGAGTCATCAGTAGGCCAACTCACCTTTAAATACTTTCTTGGGTCCGTGAAGATGCCCACAAAGCCATCCGGGTTCATGGATTAGTTTCAAACCATCGCTGGATGTTTTATATAACTCACAGATTCCTCGGTTCACTGAAGAAGAGCCGTAATTGAATACAAGGCAGAGTGGTTCCGATAAACATTTTTGCGAGCAAGATAGGACACTTCGGCTAGTTTGGCGGCTGATTATTTCTTTTGACTCAAGTTTGACGTTCTCATCTGTGTTAAAAAACGCCGATCTCTTAATCATTTCGCTTCTTCCCGATTGCAGAAATACGAACAAAATTGCTTGAAACACAAACATGATAGAAATTGCAG